GCTCTTATGTCTTCCTGATCCATTTATGTCTGAGAGAAATATTTGCCCTTGGCTCTGCACTGTTTCCCACTCTGAGTCACGTCTCTTCCTTTCTCTCATCATTCTACACCCCTATCTTTTCCTATAATGGCAAAATCACTTCTTCAGCCATGCAGCCAAGCTGAGTGACCTGACAAGTCCCAGTGAGGCTGATAGGTGTCTGCGTCCATGTCCTATTTTTGGATAATTGTTGAAGTGGTGTCCTCTGATTTCTCTGACTGCTGCTCGATCTTTCTTTGCCATGGACACATCTCAGCTGTCAACAGCACAGAGAGGCAAGGTGAAAGGCACACAGATGGCCACAGCTTAGTTTAATTTTCAGTTTCAGTTTTGCTCTTCTGCACTGACTTTCAGGCACTGGATTCCAGCAGAGCTCTCCTGCCCCCTCCTACGGTCCTACTCATTGAATAAGGCAAAAGCAACTTTTCTTCCTAGAGAAGAAAAAAGTCTCTAGCTGACTTCAACTCCCTCCACTTCTGTTCAGCTTCCATTGCCCCCTTCACTGGAGATTTAGGGTGAGGATACCCCAAAGCAGAACCGTGGAGGGTGAAGATCCTGCCATTGGAGCTTTGTGTTTTCCCTTCTTAAAAAAGTTTTTTGGTGGCATTGCTTTGAATAAGTGTGCGGTGCTCTCACGTGGCCCTCAAAGTCCTTAGGTTCTGTTCTCTTTGTGGTTTGCAACATCCCCTTCTCAGATCATTCATTCACCCTGAAGTCATGGATGACTGCGAATAGTTTGGTATGCTCCCCCAGTTAAAGATAGTTTTCACTTAACAAAGTATCAACCTGGAAGGTCCCGAATGCAGCACTTCAGATATAATCCAAAGACAGAAGTGAGAGATTAGGCCCAAAAGTGACTTCAAAATACAAGGGCTGCCTTATTTTGCTCATGTTGTTATTTGGGGGTGAACAGGTAGGAATTGGGATGATTAGGTTACAGAAGCCAAATTTATTTTTATTTCTAAAACAGGCAACCTGAATATCTAGTATCCCCCAGTCCTTTGTCCCCTATATCAACTCTCCCCCATCTTCCTCCACATGAATGTATCTTAAGGGAAGATGTACACCAGGTCCTGATTTGCAATAAAATACATCAGCTGTGATAATTTTTCATTGCAGCTCTACAGACTATTTTTTTATTAATTTCTTAAAGCCAGGTGTAACCTATAAAAATTCTGTAAGCTCTTGTTATCTTAAACATTCTAAAATGATAAAGTTGCAAGCCAAGGAAACTGAGCCATTATTTATATTATTTCCCCATTATGTTGTTTAATTTGTCCTGCAATTCAAATGAGACAATGTATGAGACTGTTTTCTAAATTGTAAACTCTGTAGAAGCTATGTGTCAGTGTTATACACTACAGAGTTGAACATAGGAGAGTAAAAGAAAAATCAACATCCCGAAAATCATGGAAGTGTTTCCATGCAAGTTTCACAGTGCTAGAGTTTCCTACCTCCTTAGAATTTAAAGTTTCAGATATGAGAATGAAGATTAAAGACAGTCATTACCCCAAAGGATGAAAAAAAACTGATATGCTTTATTTAAGTTTTCATTTTCCTAGCTTAATGATTCATGTGAGTGAGAAAATGGTGAGGAAGACAATTTTTATTAGAATCATTAGATTTCAACGCTGTTTGCAAATGAAGAAAATTATGAAGTTGTAGTATGATTCCCGCCCCTAGTTCTGGAATCATCCTAAGTTTTATTTGGTTACTTATTTGTGTAGCTATTCACTCAGAAAATATTGACTGCACTCAGTAAGTACTGGACACCATCTCAGAATCCCAGCAAACAAGGTGAGGTCATGGTTTTGGTACTCAAAGATCTAACTAGCAATCTAGTGGGGGACATTAACAGGGTTACTTTTACAGGGTGGTAAGTGATAATAGGGGGTTGTACAAGATTTTATATGTAAACATGGAAGAGGCACTAATGTGGAAGAGTTTTGGAAATAGGAAGGTGTTAGGCAGGCTAGGAGGGGAAACATAAGGAGGACTTGGAGCAGGACAGAGGGGGCTGTTCAACAAGTCTATAAGAGTTGCTAAAGATGACAGTGATTTGATAGTGAAGGCTTTGCATATATCCCTTAAGAATTTGGATTATCATTCTAAGGGCAATCACATAAAATTGACAGTTTAAAACAGGGAAATGACATCGTAGTCTTGATATGATCCCCCTTTTTTTCTTTTTCAAAGAGAAAGATGGGTTGAAGATCATATTGGAGGAGAGGATTGGGGCCAGTTAGGAGGCTGTGGCAAATAGACAGGCAAAAGATGAGGATGGCAATGATTATGATGGGATAGCAGTGATTTTGGCAGAAAATGTCCAAATAAAATGCAGTCTTTCCTTGTGTCCTCAAGGGACTCGTTCCAGAACTCTCTATGCATACTACATACTGAATTCCCTTTGGTCCTGCTGAAAATTGCCTTCATATCCATGGGTATTTTGTATCCCACAGTACTGTTATTTTTTGATTGATTTGGTTTGGTTGCAGATGAGGAACCCATGGAGAACTGACTGCATCCATTGAAAAGCATCCTACTATATAAGTGGACCAGCTCAGTTCAAACCCAAGGTGTTCAAGAGTAGATTATAAACTCTGATTAATTTAAAATATAGAGCAATGTTATTTTTGGAGATAATAATAATACATAGAATTGCTGAAATTCTAAGAATCCTTGCCATGAGGAATCAAAACCATCTACCCAAAGTCATGGTCAATGGAGGAGTAGATATTACATGTATTAACGATTATATTTACAGTCCACCAACCATGTACTGATAGAAAATGTGTTGATTTTTGAGAGTTTAGATTGAACAGCTAGACTGGTTTTTATACACATAGTCAAGCATTCATTCTACTGAGGCTACAGAAAACTGTGAGATGGGAAGCTCCTGAAAGACCATTTGGTTCAATTCTTTCATTAAAGTTAAGAAAACTGAGACCCAAAAATTAATCCATTTTCATTCAGGACGGGGTACACATCAGTACTGGCAGTGCTGAGAGGAGCAGAAGCCAGCCACCTGACTTTCCCAGAAGGCTTTTTTCATTGCACTTCAATGGCTTTCCAGGAAAGGCATCAAAATTATAAATTAATGAGATGTGGATGACCATAATGAGGAGGGACTCCAAAGGACATTTTAAAAAGCCAAACACCTGCTTTAATATTGGAGGTTGGTCATTTTCCCAGATAAACTGACAAGAAAATCTATGCCAATATCAGCAAGTACTCTTCTCATACTCACTTTCCAAAAATAATTTTGGACTCTAGTGTGGCTTTTGTGGTACAGGTATCCAAGTACATGTGATTTATATTGTTTTTACTTTCTTATTTGAAAAATTAGAAACAGGCCTATTCATTTTTTAGGGTTAGCAAGAGGAGATCTTATAAAGAAGATGACGTCTGCTGGGTTTGTGAACAGGCCCTTTACACCATTCATCAAATGACAGAATAATTAATATGGAGCCTCTTTAAGTGTGAAGAGAACACATAATTACATTACTAATCTCATAATTTTTTAAAAACACATTACTGAATAAGCAATAACATATTCTTTATTACCAATTTTGAGTTTTTAACAAGGTAAAAATTAGTTTGAAAAGATTCCTATTGCTCATTTCCATATTTAATAAAAGCAATAAACATATTGATGAGTTTTTAGAAAGTTTATTATAGGTACTGAGGAAGTCTCCTTATAACCCATTACCCCTGCCCCACATAAGAGAACTGACATATTTGCATGTGAAACCTGGATCTACTCAGTACAAAATTTGAGTCTTTGGAACAAAAATAGTCAATGGAAAATCTCAATAAAAATACATTTGAAAAGTAATTGACACTGTTCATAAATAAGCAAATCATATATATTTATTGTTAGAAGTGAAAAGATTTTATTATACAACTATGTTTATATATTTTGGGTTTAAAACTTGCCAATAGCTACTTGAAAAGATAGAAGCTCATGATTTATTAAAATAGATATTTTATTCATCAAATACTTTTGGCTTACTAACATATCCAAAGTTTTTTAAAAAACATTTAAAATACAAGGTATACCTATAAAGTCACAAGACTGATTAACCTTTTAAACTAACATCTTAAAATCTATACAGTCAAATGAGGAGTAATGCTTCAAGGTAATGATCGTGAGTCTTATCTAAGGATGCTGCAATGGCCTAAGGTAGTTTTGAAAGCTCTCTTTTGTCACTACCTTCAAAAGAACACAGCTCCATAATTTAATCATTGGCTTGCTCTGGTCCCCAGTCATATTCCAGTTCAATCTAATATTTGCCAGTCCTAGTAATTTTGAAAAATCTTACTAATCTTCATTGAATGAAATTTTACCACTTATGAGGATATTCAAAGGAATATTAATTTAGGTTAATGATGGTAATTCTGAAATTTGAGCATTTACACACTTTTTAAAGATGTCTAAGTTATAAATACATCATAGGCTTTTAAAATATATGCTTTTCATTTTAGAATAATGGATTTTTTTTTAAAGCAACCAGTGACACTTAACATTGAAATAGGACTCTACTATTCAGAATGATAAGGATAACTTTATACTCTGTTATAAAACCCATATTAAAGAACACTTTTAAGTAGCTACTGGTTTTTAACTTATGCATGTTGTAGCATGGACCAAGCAAATTGACAACTCTCCTCTGAGTCTCTCTACGTGAATTTAAATTATACTCAAGGGTCCAAAAAAGCCTTTATTGTTATTAAATAGCACCAATGTTACTTGAAAATAAAATGAAACATTATTAGAAATGCAGAATACAGGTTTAATTTCTAACTACAAGAGAGAATTAATATTTCCTGGAAGAAATATAAATCAGGTATGAATTATTTTAAGATTGCAGCCAGACAAACATCAGTTATAAAACATTTCAGAATTTGCCTGAAAAATTAGAAAGGAAAGCTTTGTGCATTACTCTTTTATGTTCTATTTCCAAAGAAGAAATATAAATGCTTTCATAACCAAGGCAGTGCAGTCTTACCAATGAATTTACCTTGTGGGAGCTATATTTATTCATTCTATATATTAGTTCAATATAATAATAAAAACGCCTCAATCTGATTAGAGCAACATTTACATTAAGTACAAAATATACAGTAAAACTAAACTTCTTGTTAAATAGGCCCATAGGTTGACAATACCCTAAAGGAACACATTTTCATGAATCTATCTTCACATTTATTTGTTTCATATTTGACAGTTAACCATAATCACTGTGCTTTTGTTACTGCAATTTCTAGGATGTTTGTATATCCTACCTCTAAGGATCCTTATGACTATATTTGTAAAAGTAATTTAAAAACTATTACTCCCAGAGTTAAAAAAAAATAAGAAATCTCATATTTTTATGAGCAGTTGTACACAAAACTATTGTAGTGCTTTGAGAGCCTGGACCCACAATCACTATAAATTCATTATTGTAAAATGTGTGCTTTTATACCAAAGCAATAACTGTCTGCCTTTCAAATTAAGTGCTGTCAACCTACCATATAATTAAGGTTATGAAGTTATATATGAAATCCTCATCTATTAATTAGAAAAGCCTTATTTGAAAAGGTCTGCCAATAAACATTTCTAAATGTGGTTGCCCATTTTAATAGTTTTCTTAATTAGAGCAGTTGGAAAATGAACAGAACAGTAGTGCTTTTATTTTACAATAACAAAGAAGCATTACAGTGTCCAAATCTCCAGACCTGGGGTCCAAGTGTTCAGTCTTGGCTCAGTCGCAGGCTGATAGAAGAGAAGCTTCGTCCCACGCTTGTACACAATGGGGCGATGATAACGTCGGTCACACTCTTCCATATTGTCTGCACCGAAGGCAGAACCATTAGGCAGGTCTTTACAAAGGGCATTATAATCCTGGCATGGAGGAAGAGAGATGTGTAAGGATTAGTACTGACTCTTCTATATGCAAGGAAAGGTATAATAATGACCTCATTTCATTAAATTTGGTTAAACATTTGAAAGAAATAAATGAACAAAGGCCACCCTAGTGGTAAGACACACAAAAAGAGATGCTGCTTAAAAAACAGTCGTGTTGGTGATACATGCTAATATTCTTTCTGGTGACATGCTATCGGAAACAGTACAACAAAACTAAATAAACCCGTGTATTTGTCTACCTGACCTCTCCTAAACGTTAAGCTGCCTGACTCATAACACTTCCCTGAGCTTCCTGATTTTCTTTCCTGTGGCCTCATTCCACTTCCCTTCCCTATGGATCAGGCTGAGATGGATGCACCTTCTTTATGCTTCTACAGTAGGAAAATTTACTTCTTAACCCTCAAATTTACCACAATCTATCATAAATAGATGCTTAGATGCCTGTCTTTCCTATTAGAATGTAACTTTGTAAAGTGATGACACCCTTGGCTCTTTTGTAAAGGTTGGGACATCAATAAAAGTATCCCTCTCTTATGCTTCATATTATTAATTCTGCTTTATATTATTAATTTTTCATAATAATTATACACACTGAAAAGGGCTACGTGGCATAGTTATAAAACCCGAGAACTGATAATAAAACTCTTAGATAAGAAAAACTAGTGTCTCTTTAAATTTTTACATGCTTTTTATTAGGCTAACTACATATTCTTATATTCCCCAGGGCGATTAATATTCTAATCCTCTAAATAGTGTTTTCTGTTGTAGTAGAGCTCTTTGAACCCCAACATCATTGTGAATTCTCAGGCACTGCTAGTGGTCTCTGTGGAATCTTTATCATCACCTGGCTCAAGGGAGTAGGTCCATATTCTTGGTTTGCTATTAAAATGTTACTTAAATAAAATTCTGTTGTACTGAGCCCAAAGTGAAGGAAAGGTCAGGCTACTATCTGATTGACTGATGTATTTTCAGAATACAGAATGAGTCATATTGAACATCTATTTTACACAGATCATATTTATTTTGTATTTTGTTCCAAGAGCTAAATACATGAAGCACTTTTATAAGAAAATTAATCACTGAATGTTTCAGGGCAAAAGAGCTGAACAGAAACCTGAAAAGTGATGACTTTTGACTTCCTACGGTTCTCACTTGATGTGTGGCCTTACGCACATCATCACAAATTAAGGGGAAGAAAACTGGCTGTCAGGATGGACATTTACATGTACCCCTGAAATGCCCATATGATGCTATCATTATTGTGTAGAATAATAGAACTATTTTGAATTCAGAAGACAAAATAACCCCACTTTGGCTTACTACTTGAGCCTTGTGCTGGAGTTTAGATGCCATAGTTTCCTAACCAAATCCACTCCACGTAGAATACAATACACTTTCCACTCTTCCTTAGGCTAAGAAATTTTCTGTCCTCATAATCCTTAGATCTCCATATCCTAATGGGCAATTAAGCATGTGACAAAAGTGGATCTTCCAGTTTAGCAAAGTGCAATCACCCGTATCTGAGCACTTCAGGGTGAACTCACTTTAATTTCATTTTCTTTAAATTGTTGTTCTTCCATTTTGGAGTAGAGAATCCAATGCCTCTGTGATACCAAACTTAAGTTGGGAGCTCAACGTCACAAATAGTTTCCAGGCAATTTTGAGTGACCCGAAATTTGGTTGAGGCTCAGTGTAGCCAACCAAACACTTCCTGAGTGAATTTTATAATCTACAAGATCACAGATTCCCCCACTGAATAATAAAGCCCTAGTACGGAGACTTTTATTTATCTTTATATTAACTATAGTGTCATGTAGAGTGCATTGTCATAGCCATTTGCTGTATTAAAAGTATCTCCAAGAAATGTGACTGCTATAATTGCATTTCCATCAGTTGATTTCCATCTATTTGATTTGCATTCTGGCAAAAATAAGGGGCATAGGTACTCCAATCACATTTCTTTGGTAACGATCCAATAACTTGCATTTGTCCAACATCTCCGAGTGATGGTGGTATGGAATGAAACCAGCTCTCTGGTGCCTAATAAACTGTACTTCTGGTCTAGGGTCCAGCAACATCAAATTTCAGTGTTTTGTTGTCATTGTAATTTGTTTAAAGAATCTAAAATCAAATCTGTTATGATACTGTGACTTTGTTCGAAGTTCTATTACTACACATTTTCACAGCTTTGGTTACCATCAACTTCTTGGTAAAACAATAAACACCCCCGCTTAAAAAATTTTTCTATGTATACACATAGGTAAGTTATGTATGTATGCATATATGGAAAAGAAAGCAAAAAACTAAAAAGCTTACCCAAATTGGTTTGTTCTGTTATAAGGTTTCACTTTGGTCTGGTTTTATTGTGTTATGGGAATATGATCGATTAATGATAAACTTATTCTATCAAGGCATAAATTAACTTTTCAGGATTCTTGTCTGAAACTCCTCCTCTGCTTGCAATCACAGCTGCCTAATGATAAGTGTATGACAGTTAAATATTAATGTTCCACATAAATGTAATATGGAAAACAAGCTGAAGTTAAATAATACATCTTATGTGGCTAAAAAAAGTGGGTTGGTGATCCACCAATTGAAGCAAGACAAAAACAAAGCAAAAGAAAACAAACAACAACAAAAACAACTCAGAAGAGCCAGATGGAGAGAGGATCATTTGGCTAAATATAGTTTTGCATGTATCTTTCCACTATTTAGTAAGTGAAAAACTTTTTTATTCAAACTCTTTTCCTACAAAAGCTTTGGGAAAGCCCAATTTTTTGTCTCTATGGCACTTTATATTTCCAAATAGCTTCTTAGCCAGCATTTCATAATATGCTATGTGGTCACTCAGTTTTTCAGTTTTGAATGTGAGGAAACTGACATAAAGGTTAGATGGCTGGTTTTAGTTAATTAGGAATCCCCCAGATTTATGTGCTGACTCGGGCACCTTTAAAAAAAAATCCATTTGGCTGGGCATCCCTAGCACAGTGGTTATGGTGCCAGCCACATGCACCCAGGCTGGCAGATTTGATCCCAGCCCCGGCCAGCTAAACAACAATGACAACTGCAACAAAACAATAGCTGGGTGTTTTGGCTGGCACCTGTAGTCCCAGATAATTGGTAGGCTGAGGCAAAAGAATTTCTTAAGCTCAAGAGTTTGAGGTTGCAGTCAGTGCCCATGGCTCAGTGAGTAAGGCGCTAGCCCCATATACCGAGGGTGGCGGGTTCAAACCCCGGCCCCGGACAAACTGCAACCAAAAAATAGCTGGGCATTGTGGGCACCTGTAGTCTCAGCTACTTGGGAGGCTGAGGCAAGAGAATTGCTTTAGCCCAGAAGTTGGAGGTTGCTGTGAGCTGTGTGATGCCATGGCACTCTACCAAGGGTGATAAACTGAGTTGTCTCTACAAAAACGAAAAAAAAAATAGAGTTTGAGCTTGCTTTACGCTGTGAAGCCATGACACTCTACCCAGGGCCACATAGTGAGACTCTGTCTCAGAAAAAAAAAAAAAATTCATGTGTGAATGTTAGAATCTGAGCTAACTACATAAATCCAGCCTTTGTGAATGTGATCATCTGGGAAGGCAAACATTTCCATTGCTCTGGCAATCTTTCGGCACTTTGGACATGGTTTAATTGTTTGCAAACTTCAGTGATCAAATTAAATTTGTGTTGTTTATCTTTTACTTATTTGGTGATAGACTCCATTCCCCCGACAAAGCCTTCCCTGTTCTCTCTCTGCTTCTCAGAATCCTTCTCTGTACCCAGTCAGCTGCCCTGGTGTGCTAGGAGTAAGCTGAAGGGAGATCCTATGTTTCATTCATATTCAGCCCACTGCCCCGCACAAACTAGACCTCAAATAAACTTAGTTTGTTGAACTAACTAGCTAACTGACTAGAGAAATTAAGATTCAGATGATAAAGACGAATGATGAATAACTAGATGGCCTCCCACAGGTTCATTGCTGTAGGTGAGCATCTCTTAGGGTGGGGCTCTGTTATACAGGGTGGTTAAGAAGGACATGAAGGCCCCTGGGGTTACACAGGTCATCAGGACGACCACGAAAAGCTAGAGATACTGGGGGGATGACCTGATCATTCTTCCTCTTTGATTAAAGTGGATATTCTTTAGCACCACCAGCACGACAAAACTACTTATTAAAATATGATATTTTTCCTAAAATGTTTTTAATGTTTAAAAATGGTCTCCGAAGTTTTATGATGCCTTTTGGGTGTGACTGTAGTGTTCATTAAAACATCCTTCAGTGTCCCGTGGGTTTCCATATTTCTTTTCCCTTTACCCAGATGTCATTCCCATTTGTGTTGCATCGTGAAACGTAAGTGAGAAAGTAAGTTGGAGACCTTCTCATTCACTATCCTGAAGCTCGCGTTTCTGTTCCTGTGCTGGGGGCCCACAGCTCAATTGCACATACCTTCCTTCTCAGGGCCCATCCTTGCTTCCCCGGACTGTTCAACCAGGTCTGACATCGCTGCCCAATTATATTGTCAAAAATCATTTTTGTTTTACCCCAAGCACAGGTAGAGACTGAATAAAAGGTAATGAAAGAAGAATCCTGCCCAGAACCACAGGCACAAGTCCCAACAGGGCCCGTGGAGAGCAGCCTGTGGCCGGAAGCATGGCTTTCGTGTCCCCACCTCCACACTCAGCTCAGCCCTATGGATTGGAAGGAAAATCACCCCCGACAAAAGCCCAGAAGCCGGACGTTCTTTTGTCTGTTTACAGTCCCAGCCCAAACTGTTAATCTAGAGAAAGCACACTGCCTTTCTAGGCCTCCCGATGGCTGCTACCGCTCAGGAACTCGGGGTGTTCTTCCCTCTGCAACAGGCCAGGGAGAAGGGGCGGGCAGGGGCCAGGTGGCCAGGAAGGCTCCCACGGTTCAGAAAGCCGGTCCACCCCGGGGCACCCCTCCTCTCTCACCAGATGTGCAGGCAGCTGAGGGTGGCAAAGAGAATTCCCGCGACGAAGGCCAGGGGGATGGCCAGGAACACGGTTAGGAACTTGTACAGCACGTATTTGCTGATTTCAAAGAGGGCATGGCTGCAGATCCACACTTTGTCAAAGGAGTGCGTAGTCACCGGCTCTGCGATCACATCCTCGAAGCCCACCTGCAGAGAGAGGACGCAGGGACCCCGAATTGTCACCCAACCTGCTGCCCCCTCCCCCCGGGAACTAGGAGCGCTCGGGCCTGGGAAAGGAAGGACATGGTTGGGGTGTCCTCACTAGAATTTGGCTGAGAATTCCCAGCTAGGCAGACAGCCCGGAGGCAGGTGGGCCAGGGAAGGGTGCGGGTCTCCTACCCACCAGGCAGACGCGTCGGCCCGGGAGGTGCTGGGCGGAGCAGGGGCTTGAGCCAGCCCCGCGGGGGCCAGGGTTACCTCCCGTCCCGGGCTTCACCTTGAGCTGCGAGTTGAGCCGGTGGGGATCCCGGTCCTGGCCTGAGTCAACGAACTTCTCGGGGTCTCCGTAGTCGACGCCGCTGTGGTGGCTGTAGGAGTCGTCGTCCATGAAGAGCTGCACGTCCGCCTTCTCCGTCTCCA